TTTTGTTTGGGACATCTTGCTTCTTACCCTCTCCATGGTCCCTCGGTCTATCTAATTCCTTACCTCTCTTCTACCAACCTAGTCCTCCATCTACTGTCCTCTTGTATTCAGCCTCAAGGGGGTAGTATAGCCACTGATGCTAGAGGAGAGGTTTACTGGAAAAAAGAATCATCAAGACCTAAATTTAGGGTAGATTATTAAAAATAAAACAAATATAACCAAACCAAGCCAAAGAAAATTAAAGCAGCAGAGCACAAATGGTACATACTTGCCTATAATCCCAGCTACTCAGGAGGCTGAGGTGGGAGAATCACTTGAGTCCAAGAGTTTGAGACCAGGCTGGGCAACATAGTGAGACCCCATCTCTACAAAAAGTAAAGATTAAACCTTTCTCACTGCCAAGATACATAGCCTGCTAGTATCTCTGATATGTTTGTTATGAATTGAAATATGTTTCTCAGAATGTGACTGTGTTTGGAGATAGTCTTGAAAGAGGTGATTACAATAAAATGAGGTAATTAAGGTGGGCTCTAACTTAAAATCACTGGTGTCTTGTAAGAAGAGGAAATCAGGATATAGACATGTACAGAGGGAAGATCACATGACACAGGGAAGAGACAGCCATCTACAAGCCTCAGAAATAAAGAAGCCTCAGAACAAGCCAACCATGCCAACACCTTGATCTTTGACTTCTAGAACAGTGAGAAAATAAGCTTCTGTTGTTTAAACCACCCAGCCTGTGGTACTTTGTTAAGTAACCCTAGCAAACTAACACAATGCTACTATAAAAAATAATTATAGGCTCAGCACAGTTGCTTATGCCTGTAATCCCAATACTTGGGGAGGGTGAGGTGGGAGAATTGTTTGAACCCAGGGTTTAAAATCAGCCTGGGTTATGTAGTGAGACCTCGCCTCTACAAAAAAAAAAAAAAAAAAAAAAAAAAAAGAAGAAGAAGAAGAAGAAGAAGAAGAAGAAAAAAGAAAATTAAAAATTAAAACTTAGCTGGGTGTGGTGGTGCACACCTATGGTCCTGACTACTCAGGAGGCTGAGGAGAAAGGACGACGTGAGCCCAGGAGTTTGAGGCTGCAGTGAGCCGTGATTGTGCCACTGCACTCCAGCCTGGGCAACAGAGCAAGACCCTGTCTCAAAAAAAAAAAAAAAAAAAAGAGAGAGAGATAAATAATAATAGCTAGTATGTTTTTTGAGTGTTTACTATGTGCCATGCTTTGTTTGATACAGTGTATGTTTGTAAACTTATTGAATACTCACAACATCTGTAAGATAGTACTACTTTTATTTCTTGTATGTGGATGAGGAAGCTGCAGTAGAGAGGTTTAATGTGTTAAATAGCTAGAAGGAACTGCAAAAGTAGAAACTAGGTAATCAGAGAAGATATGTGTACTTTTGCCCTGAAAATATTAAAAATCTACTGTTTCCACAAATCAATAAAGGAAACAAAGACAACTCAATACAAAAATAGGCAAAGTACTTGAAGCGAGGTTTCACAAAAGGCATATCTACATATCTACATGACCCATAAATACATGAACAGCTGCTAAGCCTCGGGTGGGTATGTAGTGCTACTGCATTGTATTTTTACTTTACTAAGAAATGCAATTTTAAAAGGAATAGGGATTGAATGTACTCTGTGTGGCCTGCCACACCTCTTCTTATGTTCTAGGCTTGAGATACTTCTGACTTCCTACATTCCTGCAGGGAGAGAACCATGATCCTGAAGATTTTTAAGACTTTGCTAATGACACTCTCCCGCCTCTGCCTTTTTTTTTTTTTTTTTTTTGAGACAGAGTTTTGCTCTTGTCACCCAGGCTGGAGTCCAGTGGCATAATCTTGGCTCACTGCAACCTCTGCCTTGGGGTTCAAGTGATTCTCTGGCCTCCACCTCCCGAGTAGCTAGGATTACAGGCACCTGCCACCACGTCTGCCTAATTTTTGTATTTTTAGTAGAGGTGGGGTTTCACCATGTTGGGCAGGCTGGTCACGAACTCCTGACCTCAGGTGATCCACCTGCCTCAGCCTCCCAAAATGCTGGGATTACAGGTGTAAGCCACCGTGCCCGGCCCTCCTCTGCTCTTGACCAAAATAAAATTGCACCTTCACTGTCACTCAGATGAAACCTCTCTGCTTTTCTCTGGGTGCCTATTGTACTATGTATGCCCCTTATCATAGCACCCACATTGATTGCAATTGATGCATCTGTCCCTCTCATTGGGCAATTAGCAATGTGGGGTCAGGGACTGACCAAATTAACATTATAGCGTCCTGAAGCATTGAGCATGTGGCTGTAATATATTCGGTGGTTAACACATATTTGTTGAAAGAATCCTAACTCCTTATTATACTCTTTTGTCAGATTACTTTTCAGGTTTGTACTGGGCTATGTCTATGATTTCAATGAATAGCTGAAAATTAAGAGTTTGATGTTTTGTAAATAAGTACCTTAATGGATTTATTTGACATTGTCTACCAACAATGCTTATTGATTCTGCTTTGAGGAGTTTTGTTCTCCACTTGTGAACTAACCTAAGATGGTTTGGCCTTTATAATTGTCCAGTTGTTTTTAGAAGATATCTACAAGGCCAGTCGCATGGCTCATGCCTTAATTCCAGCACTTTGGAAGGGCGAGATGGGCGGATCATTTGAGGTCAGGAGTTTGAGACCAGCTTGGCCAACATGGCAAAACCCAGTCGCTACTAAAAATACAAAAATTAGCTGGGCCTAGTAGTGCATACCTGTCATCCCAGCTACTTGGGAAGCTAAAGCAGGAAAATTGCTTGAACTTGGGAGGGGAAGGTTGCAGTGAGCCGAGACTATACACCACTGCACTCCAGCCTGGGCAACAGAGCAAGACTGTCTCAAAACAAAACAAAACAAAACAACAAAAAAAAGATATCTACAGTCTGAAAGGACTAGAGGTGGATGAGGACAAAAAGACTGGGCTCCCACAACCTTGCCGCAGATGAGTGTTATATTACAATGAAAGTGGGTCTCAGTTGAGAGTGTGCCACACATATGAACACTTCTCAGCAAGTGACACAGTGATGTAACCTGTTCTGCTGGCTCCTGAAGTCCCTTTTCTCTGTCATTTTGGGTATGCCACAAGCACCTTGAATGAAAAATACATGCTGATGGCAGAAGAAGTTAACCTTCCAGCTGAATTAGATATTAAATTCTCCATAAGGAAGACAACTAGAAGCTGATTTTGATTCTAAGAGATAACTTAAAGATGTTAAGTTGCTGGGTTCACCAGGTTATTTTATTCTATACCTAGAAAGGTGAAGATACCTGCAGAACATATTCAAGCAACCACATTTCCTGAACACCACTCATTTTACAAATGAAAAATCATTTCTGTTACTGTTTTTGCCAGTTAGAAACACTTTAGAAAGCACTTTCATTTTTGACGTGCTTGCAAGCCCTAAGAAGACTCTTGATTAGGATCTTTCAAATGTTAACTAGCTGCTATTACAGTGTGAGCTTCTAGTTAAAATCTTCCAAATGTTAATGAACTGCATCTAGGATATAGATTAACTACACATACACATAACTATTTATACTAAAGTACTTAAAAGAAAATTATAGTTGTACACAATATTGCCATGGAATTTTCCAGAGTTGTACCAATTTACACTCCCAGAAGAAAATGAGAGTTCTAGTTGCTCCACATCCTCACCATCATCATTGCATTCTTTAAAATTTTTAATTTAGCCAATTTGATGGGTACATACTACTTCTGCATTGTATTTTTAACTTGCATTTCTCTGATAGTTAACAAAGCTTAGCAGCTTTTCATATATTTATGGGTCATGTAGATACATAGATGTGCTTTCTGTGAAACTTTTCAAGCCTTTTGCCTATTTTCCTATTGAGTTATCTTTATTGATTTGTGGAAACAGCATATATTTAATATTTTCAGTGCAATAATATATTTTATCTACTTTCACAGTTCTCCTTCATGTTAACATGGTTGTTTACCAGTAAGAATTTTATCTCGAGTTGGACTATGCACCAGTCACATTATATGATCTTAATGGAAAGCTAGGGGAAATGAGAAAACACTTTATGTTTTAAAATGAATGTATGTTAAATTCATTTTGTTTTATCAAATGTTTGATAATTAGAAATTTTTATTAATACTAATCTAAAATATTAAACAATAGAAATCCCACAGAGGGGAAAATAAAAGGAAGATGCATGGAGGGACAAAAGTATCTGCAACTTACTAATCTTAGATAATATGACTTATTCATACAACCATGTTTTTTAGAACCATAATTAGAATGCTTCTTTCTGACACACTGGTGTTGTTAAATTGCTATTGGATCCTTCTTTTAAGATATTTGGCCATCAAGATTCACTATGAATCCCCAGCTTTTCCTTCAAGTATATCTTCCAAATGAATCATTCTTCTGAGTGCTTTCTACTTGGAACTGCCTTTTAAGTTCCAAAGGTTTCAACATCACTAGAGTCCTTATTTTTCTTCTATGTATCAGAGAAAGGGTAACAAGCATTAAAGTGACATCATGATGCTGATGAAAATATAACTAGTTTTTGCAATCAGAAAAAGGGAAATTTCTAGAACAAGCTTCCTCCAACAGAGTTTTCAAGCAGCAACTGCTGTCTAGGCATTCCCTGAAATGTTTCTAGAAGGAGGCGAGTTGATGTTACTAGCAATGACTTGAGTTCACCAAAGTTTTATAGCTTCCTGGGGAATAAAAATTTTTATGAAGATAATTCTTCAGTGTTTCAATATAGTAAGAGACTTTTGCTTGTTAAAAGATCATTGGTCCCGGCTACTCGGGAGGCTGAGGCAGGAGAATGGCGTAAAAACCCGGGAGGCAGAGCTTGCAGTGAGCTGAGATCCGGCCACTGCACTCCAGCCTGGGCGACACAGTGAGACTCCATCTCAAAAAAAAAAAAAAAAAAAAAAAAAAGATCATTAGCCTACCTTAGGAAATATTTTATCATCAAATGAGCAACAATAAGGTTTCATCCTGTTTAATGAAAAATGAGATCCAAGAGTGACCTTTATCTTAAATTTCATCCTGTAACCAAGAGTATTATTCAAGGTTTGTTCTTAAATTATTGACTTTTAAAAATTTTCAAATGTTGGGTTGTGAATAGATACAGAGGTCTGTTTATGCATCAGGTATCTGAAACAGTGGATATTGTCTAATTTTCCTGAAAGGTTAGGAAGATTCCCCAAGGAGATAGGCCTTGAGAAGAGTTTGAAAAACTAGATGACTTGACAGAGGCAAAATTAGAGTCTAGGTGAGAAATGGGATGTAGTAAAGGGCATACAAAGGTAAGTTCAGCAAGTCAACTTGCTAAGGGCAAGCTCAAAATGACAGCTTTGAAATCGTATTCAAACTACCCTGAAGGAACTGTAAATCAGATCTGTGGATGATAGGTTTTATAAGGCATATCATTGAAACTTGCTAAAATAACTGCATTTTAGGTATGCTATGAGAACTGAGCTGTGCTTTAATGAGCTCTATACTTAAGCTATCACTCTTCCTTTTGTGTGCCATAGTCACATTTTCTTCATCTCAATAGACACTGTACGTTATTTCTTTTTTCTCAACTGTGATATTATTTCTAACTATAGCATCGTATTTTATGAATCTCAGTTTTTTTAAGTTTACATTTCTTTAATTACTGTAGACCATTTTTTTGGCCATAAAATTTGCACAAACATATTTTTCTTATTTTACCTTTCTCCACAAACTATTGTTAGGGTAGCTCAAGGAATTTTATCATCTCTATCTATAATATCTTCTAATATTATAATACCCATTGGAAAGTCCTCCTTTATATCCATCCAAAATCTTTCATGTTGCCTTGCCTTCTTTTATATATTAAGTAGACACTAAGAACAGGTTATTGTCTTTGAAATAGCCATTGTATCATTGATCCTCCATGTCTTCTGCTATGAGTCCATCCACATCTTTTATTTCAGAGACTATCTTTTGTTGTTCTTTAGTAACTGTGGTCTTTTTTCTGACTTCTGGCTTGTTTGCCAGTACATCCCATTCCTCTTGGTCATAATATTGTGCCCAAGAAAAGAAAGATGTTATTACAATATTATGACCAGCAGCTTTACATAATTTCATGTGACCTGTAATAAGGAAAATGATGTCCAGAAAAGCTAAAATGGTTGCCTAGTTTCATGTGGAAATAACTGCTAGAGAGAGACATGAAATTTCACCTGGCAAAAGCCCAAGCCTGTACTTTTAACCATTACACAAACCAATGATATTTATTCAGTATGTTCTATGTATTTAGCATCAGGGTACTGAAAAGAAAAAAAAAATAAGAAAACATGATCCCTGCTCTATGAATTCACAGCCTGCTTGATGAGCTGGAAATATTACATTGGAAGAATATTTAAAATATTCTTAATCATATTCTTGATATCTTACTCATGTTCTATAAATGAGATTAAGTATAAAACTTTGTGGGTCATACATAAAACTTACAAGGTTTAACTAGATTTACCAGTACTCACGGAACTGGAATAACTAGTATTCATGTAGTGCAGTAGGCATGCTGAACGGAAAAGCTGGCAGGCATAGTTGAAAAAAGCTTCTTGCAGGTGGCATGACTTCAATGGGGTTTCCGTTCTTCCCTATCATTGGATTTTTCTTCAAGGGCAATTTACTGAAGATTCACTTATTGAGCCTCTTCAGCTTCTTCTGAATAACTGATTCATCCACCTAAGTCATTTGGAACACTGAATCTTTTGCCCAACGTGTGGCTACCTCCCTTCTCCCCAAATCAGAGCTACCCTTGACTGTTCTGTGATTGCTATTTATCCATTACATAACTAGCCACTGAAAATACTAAACACTAAGCTGTTATCATTTTGTTATATAATTGTTCCACTGAAAATATTAAACACTAAGCTGTTATCATTTTGTTATATAATTGTTCAATAGTTGTGTATTCGAAATTGTTTCTTCTAACATACTTTTATTAAAAGTGATCACATGATTCAAAGTCTCAAAAGATAATTAACTACATATACTTTTGTGTAGCACTTAACAATTTCTAAAGCATTTCTAGATCCATGAACTCCTACAAGCCCTTAGAGGGTTCACTCTATAGAAATATAGAAATCTACATTTCTAACAAAATTCTTCCCCTAAATATCACCAACAATATCAAATTTCACATGACTAGGGAGAAAGGTAACATGGGATAAGACAGCAAAGATGATGTGATTTTCTAGTGGTAAAGAATGGAAATTCAAACTATCATTGAACTAAGAGGAAGTTTCTCAGGCTGAGTAATTTTCTTTATTAAAAATGTAATCAAGCAGCCACACAGATCCTGGATTAGTACCTTAACATTTCAGATATAAATATATCAGCATCCTACAAAATCCATGACTCAAAAGCAGTATCATTGTTGTTGTTTTTTTTTTTTGGTTGAGGCTAATTTCTTTTAAAATTCATTCAATTTTTTTCCTTTTGCTTGTTCCTATTGAGAAAAATACTTGTTTTCATTGTATGTGCAAGGATGCATTTAACATTTCTTCATTTTTTATGAATTTATTTATATATATAATAGATATCTGTGAAGGCATTCATTCAAATGTATTGCATTTTATGCCTTGCTTCATCAATTTGTACTGACATTTGCTTTGTCTAGATTACAAGGTAAGGATTCATTTAAATTTATTTCATACTGTGATCTGCATTTTAGTTACTAGTATTAACTGATTTTTTGCATATTTAATGTAAAATTAGTTTTAGAGAATTCCTTTATTTTTCTTCAATTAAAGTTTTCTTTATGAGGTTTATACCAGCAATTAATAATTTATTTTGTTTTTAATTAGGATGTTTTTAGCCACATGTGACAAAAGTGGAGACTCACTATTTCACACAACAGGTCTTTGTAGCTATATATAGTGGTCCAGGGAAGGTCATTCAGAGGTTCAAACGCAAGTTCAAGGACCCAAGTTTCTTCCATCCTTCTTCTCTGCCCTCAGCTGCTTGTCATTCTTGTCTCTTAATGTCACAAGATGAACGACATAGCTCCCAACATCATGTGCAGTCACTATAACATGCAATAAATGAAGAGGGAAAATTTTTCCATGCATCTATTTCTTGTCAAGGATCATTTCCAAATACCTCCTAGCAGACTTCTTATGTTTCAACTAGAAGCAGGTCACCTGTCTCCAATATACAATTTAATGAAAAGAGAATCAAATAATCATTATTGACTTTGAAAAGCCACCATCTTCTGCCTGGGGGCAGAAGGATCACCTTCGTTCCGGGGCCCAATTCCCCAACAAGGAAGGTGAATACCTGGAAAAAACTCTGTATCTGCCAGTAATGGAATGGGGAATATTTGGGAAGTTGAAAAAATTCACTTGTACTCTCTAGTATTATCCACTTTTCCCTTTAAAACACAATTCTGGCCCTATTTTATACTTTTCCTATTGCTGGATAACCTCCTCCAACATTTCCCAAAATGTATTTATGTACTATATTAAATAGTATTTTTTTTAAAGTGTACTATTCAGGCTATTTATATACTATTAAATAATTTGAAGAATTTGTTTTTTAATTAAGTAGGAGACATTATTATTTATAATAGTCTACAAAATTCAAGTGTCCAAAGTTGGTATTTTATTTCAAACCATCTGTTCATTCTGTTTTCATGCCCTAAGCATTTCTTCTCTTGGTTTTAACTTTATATAGGCGGTCAGGTGTAAATTAACTCCTAAATTCAGTGATTTCTTGGTCTAATCTAGAATCATTACTTAGGCTCAGCTGAGTTCCTCTTCTGCTCATGTTGGTGCTAAGGAATTCCCTGGAAATTAACACAGCCACAGCCTGTTGTGGGGGTCGGCTGTGAGGGGAGGGGTAGTATTGCACTCCTTGGACTTCTTCCACTTCAGGCTCCCACTCTGGTCAGCAATCATTGTCTTTGTGGTCTGCACTCACAGTGCAGATGATACCTAGTGGTGGCTTTGCTGGGTGGCATGTTTGGCTCCAGTGTAACCATACAGCGCAAGAGACAGAAAAAAAATCCCACAGTGATGCAGCTTCTCTTCTTCCCCCATCCCTCGTAAGTGATTCAGCTGCTTCTGCCTGCCCTTGCAGCACACCCTGTCTGGAACTGGAAAGTTCCCTCCTTATTCCGGATGCACAGCAAGCTTATGAATGAATCCTCCCCATACTCCTCTTGGGTCCTCAGTCACTACAGAAAGGATGAATCCTATTATCTTAGAGCTGACTTAGCAAATTAGCACACACTTGGTGGCTTAAAACAACAGAAATATACTCCCTCACAGTTTGGGAGGCTGGAAATCCCAGATCAGTCTACCCACAGGGCCTCTCCAGAGCTGTAGGGGAGAATTCTCCCTCGTCTTTCTCAGCTCCTAGTGTCTCCCAGTGTTCCTTGACTTGTGGCTGCATAACTTTACCTCATTCTTGACATGGCCTCTCTTCTCCCTGTATCCATGTCTTGTCTCTCTTATAAGGACACTTGTTCTTGTGATTTTAGGGTTCATCCAGATAATATAGGATGATCTCATCTTGGAATCCTTAACTTAGTTACATCTGTAAAGACCCCTTTTCCAAATAAGTTCCCTTTCACAGGTTGCAGAGCTTCAGACGTGAACCTATGTTTTGAGGGCCACCATTCACCAAGTGACAGTCAGGGAGAGCCTGAGGTCGATGTTACAACTATTCATGCCATGCGGCCATCTCTCTGGCTTCCTCCAACTCAGTTGGGTGAGACCAATTTGTAGGTTTGTCACTCTAAAGGTGTAGACAGGAAATAATTCTAACCCCTCTTCTTTTAAATGTCCTCTAAACTTCATGAGGAACTTGTGTTTTGTTCCCTCTGTCCCAACCTCTCTCACCCCTACTCCCTTAAAATACTGCTCTAAGAGGTCAAGGGGAACAACATCCATCAGTTTTCTCACTGTTTGTACTTACACTGTTTTGTGCTTGGAATGGTCACTACTCCCTTCCTTACCATCCCCCTCTATACCCCCCTTCCCCCCCCACAACAACCCAATCAAATTTTCTTTTCTATGAAAAAAGCTATCTCTAATCTTTTGGTTTTACATTAAGAATAGAGCTTCTCTAGATGTAGCAATTTAGGGTCAGAATCTCTGCTGTTGGGGTAAACCCTCTCCAATGCATTGGAAATCAGTAGGTTTAGCCTCCAGATGGGAGAAGAATCCACAGTAATGGGAAGGACTCCACTCCACTGACACTTCACAACTCATCCTGTCCCACTTACAAATTGAGAAGGCTCACTCATCTCCACTTAAAAAATGCTCTGCTTAGTATTCCATGGTATATATGTGCCACATAAAAAAATAAAATGCTCTGCTTTTGGTTGTTTTAAGTGCCTAGCAGTTGCTTGAAAACCTTAAATCATTTCAGTTCTTTTTCTTTTTCATTTGAGAAGCATCATCACCCACAAAAAAACATTTTAATACAGTTCTTTCAAATGGAAAATAAAGCGTTTTGGGGCTGATGACAACTCAGGAACCATTTCTAATCTTTTGAAATAAATGAACCCTTATCTGTCCTTTTTGAGCATTTTAATGGGTTTGTGCAAACTGCTACAAGATTGATTTGGCTGCAGTTTAGCAGAGTTGGTTAGAATGAATCTATCAGACATACGGTTGGTGCCTTAGCAAGGAAAGTGCAATTGGGATTTTGTTCCCACAGCCCCCAAATTTAGAATTTATAAACATTGTAAAAATGTATTTTAAAAGATCTCTCCTTTCTGCAGCTCAGAAAATGTCCTTTCTCAGCAATAGAAATGGGTGGAGGAAGAACATCTAGGAGGCCGAAGATTTCCACCATCCGAAAAAAGAGATGGTTTGGGGGTGTGAAAGGAGTCATCCCAGGAAGCTGGGAGAAGCGGAAATTTGGAGGTGGAGGGACAGACAAGGAGGACTGAAAGGGCTGAGCACATGATAGAGAGTAGGGAGAGTGTGAAGACAACAGAGGGTTCTGGCATAATGTTGTGTCAGCCGAGGGAATGTGCCTACAGAGATCCCCCAAAGCCTGGCAGCACACCCATCCACTTGCCAAATTATCACAAACTTAGCACTTAAACAACACGAATTTATTATCTTACAGTTCTGCAGTTCAGAAGTCCAACATGAGTTTCGCTTGGCCAAAACCGAGGCGTTAGCAGAACCACATTGCTTCTGGAGACTCTAGGGCTGAATCCATTTCCTTGCCTTTCCCAGCTTCTAGAAGTCGCCCACATTCCTTGGTTCACTGCCTCTTCCTCCATCTTCAAAGCCTGCAACGTTCCCTCTCTATGACCCTACTGTATACCAAATCTCCCTCTGACCACAGCCAGGGAAGATTTTCTGCTTTAAGGACTCCAGTGATTAGATTGGGCCCACCTGGACAGGCTAACCTCTCCATCTCAGCGTCCTTAATTGTAGGACATTTGCAAAGCCCCCTTTGCATTATAAGCTAACATTTTCACAGATTACGAGGATTAAGAAAAAGACACTTCAGGGAGCCATTATTCTGCCCACCACAGATGGCATGAGTTAACCAGCCTGGGGCAGCTACAAGGGAAACTTCACCGACATCCTTGCTCCCCACCATCTATCATGTGAGATATTTCTTGTGAACCTAAAGTGGATGTTTCCCACTTTACATTCCTGTGATATTTTCTGTGAACATAAAGTGGGTATTTCCCACTGTGTCTGGGTGTTTCTACTGCCTATCAAAAAAACAATCATGGAACTTCTGTCCCCATCTCCTAGAGACACCTGTGGCGCATTCAGGGAGGTGAAGCGAATCCACTTGCTAAGAGGAAGTTTTCCTTCCCTGCCTGGCTTCCTATGCTGAGGCTGAGCTGGAGGATTTGAGGCTACCTTTCCAGGTGCCTGTTGCAGGCATGAAAACTGCTGATTATGGTGTGTGTGCAATAATCTTGTTTGCTTACTAACTGTGTCAATTTCTTAGAGCTGCCATAATAAAGTACCACAAACTGGGTGGCTTAAACAGCAGAACAGTAAGTACTCTCTCACAGTTCTGGAGGCTGGAAGTCTGAGATCATGGTGTCAGCTAGGCAGTGCTCTCTCTGAAGCCTCTAGGGGGTGGGTCCTTCCTCGTCTCTTGCAGCTTCTACTGCCCCAGGTGTTCCTAGTTTGTGACAGCATAACTCTAATCTCTGCCTCCATCTTCACATTGTGTTCTCCCTGTATTTTTGTGTCTTCACGTGGCTGTATTCTTATAAGGACACTGGTTGTGTGGGATCAGAAGCCCATCTTACTCCGGCATGACCTCATCTTAACTAATTACATTTACAAAGACCATATTTCCAAATAAGGTCATATTCCGAGGTACTGGAGGTTAGGATATCAACATTTCTTTTTGGGGGGAAACAATTCAACCCATAACACTGACCAAGTTTATGTGGTCATGTGCAATATTACATGCATATTGCATCTTATACTCCTGTAGTTATTTTTATATATTCTGGCTTTTATTTTTACTCCATTTCCATGGCCAGTCCAGATTGGTGCCTGATATTGTTTGGCTGTGTCCCCACCCAAATCTCAACTTGAATTGTACCTCCCAGAATTCCCATGTGTTATGGGAGGAACCCAGGGGAAGGTAATTGAATCACGGGGGCTTGTCTTTCCCGTGCTATTCTTGTGATAGTGAATAAATCTCACAAGATCTGATGGGTTTATCAGAGGTTTCCGCTTTTGCTTCTTCCTCATTTTCTCTTGCTGCCGCCACGTAAGAAGTGCCCACCATGATTCTGAGGCCCCTCCCCCAGCCATGCGGAACAGTGAGTCCAGTTAAACTTCTTTTTCTTCCCAGTCTTGGGTATGTGCCTACAGAGAACTAATATAGAAAATTGGAACTAGTAGAGTGGGCATTGCTGAAAAGATACATGAAAATGTGGAAGCAGCTTTGGAACTGAGTAACAGGCAGAGATTGGATCAGTTTGAAAGGTTCAGAAGAAGAGAGGAAAATGTGGGAAAATGTGGAACTCCCTAGAGACTTGTTGAATGGCATTGCCCCAAAGTGCTGATAGCAATATGGACA